TGCTTTTTCGTAAAATGAAAGTGCTTTAGAGTAGTCTCGCATGCTGTTATACACCAAACCGATGTTGTTATACAAAGTAGCCAAATAAGTATAATTTGGAGGAAGAGCTTTCTGACAGATTTCAAGCTCTTTCTCGTAAAATAAAAGTGCTTGTTCGTTAAATGAAATTGCTTTTTCGTTTAGTGAAAGTACTTTAGAGTAGTCTCGCATGCTGTCATACAGCAAGCTAATGTTGTTGTATGAAGTAGCCAATGAAGGATGAGTTGAAGGAAGAATTTTTTGTCGAATTTCAAGTGCTTTTTCGTAAAATGAAAGTGCTTGCGAGTACTCTCCTATCTTGTTGTACACACTACCAATGTTGTTGTATGAACTAGCCAAATCAGGATGACTTGGAGGAAGAGCTTTTTGATCAATTTCAAGTGCTTTTTCGTAAAATGAAAGTGCTTTGGAGTACTCACCCATAGTGCGATATACGAAACCGATGTTATTGTACGAAGTAGAGAAATCAGGGTGATTTGAAGGAAGATTTTTTTGATCAATTTCAAGTGCTTTTTCGTAATATGAAAGTGCTTTAGAGTAGTCTCGCATGCGACGATACACACTACCAATGTTGTTGTATGAAGTAGCCAAATCAGGATGATTTGAAGGAAGAGTTTCTTGTTGGATTTCTAGTGCTTTTTCGTAAAATGAAAGTGCTTTCGAATAGTCTTTCATAGTTTCATACACAACACCGATGTTGTTATATGAACTACCCAATGAAGGATGATTTGAAGGAAGAGTTTTTTGTTGGATTTCTAGTGCTTTTTCGTGGTACGAAATAGCCGTTTGATATTCACCTTCATCCGAATGTACAAGTCCAAGCTGGCTATAATAAAGGGCTCTTTCACGCTCATCAGATGTCTGTTCGAGTAATACATTATAAAGTTCTTCTGCCATATAAAACTGACCAATTCTTAGCAACAAGTTAGCCAAGCTTCGGGATTGAGTACTACCGGCAGCTTCTTCTCGTATCTGATCAGTAAGTAAACGTAATTGTTGATCATCGTCGGAAGTTAATTGTAATTCAACGTGATAAAGTTGGGAGTCATTGCCCATTTGTTTAATTGCATTCACTCGGAAAATGGTGTGCATTGAGAAGAGAATTTCGTTTTCTCCTTTAAAATAACTCTCACCTTTGATGGAGGCAAATGGTGTTGATTTAATACAAGGATCAATGGACATTATAAAGAGAATGCTCACCTTATCCGGGCCTGTCGAAGCACCTTGAGCAAAACCGAGGGACAGTTCTTTATTTTCGCTGGTGGACAAGAAATTGTTAAATGACATTAGTCCACCTTTTGCTTTTTGAAGTTTTGCAAAGTCTGATTTCATAAGACCTTGCCCTCTATAAACTATAAAAGGTTTTCTTTCATAACCATTGATCTGTTGTTCGTACAACTGTTGTATTTGTTGATGCAGATGACATATAAAAAAACCCATAGTAAGAATTGTATTAGCGTCCAGGGTCCGAAGCGCATAATTGAGCATAGAATAGATATTGGATGGGAAAGTATACCACCAAATAGCGGCTTGATTATGGTATTCTTTTTCAAAACGGTCAATAACAGTTGATGATATGCTGTTGTTGTTCTGACAATAAGCAATAAAGTGCCTGATGGCCCGTTCACCATGTTGCATATCAAGGAGAATTTCCTTGAATAGTTGGGTATACATAAAAGTTGGCTCCAACTGATTGTTATTATCAGTTGAACCCATTTCATTTACGGTAAGAAAACTTACGGCAATTGAATCTTGGTCACATTGCCTAGCAGCCAATTGCAATGCTTGACATATTTCTTCAATGTTTGTATGGACACCTTTGATTTTTGTCCATTTTTGTATCCATTCTTGATTTGTGGATTTGTCGCCACAGAAGATGTAAATTGCATCTAACTGTGGTATGTCATGAATTTTAGGAACCAAATCTTGGCCTAATGAGCCTGATGTTATCACAAAGGCTTGCTGCCTATCAACCTTGTTGAGTAGTTGCATGCACTGATTTGATTCAGTGCATACGTTGACATCATTGACCACATTCTTCAATTGAGTGAGTGTGTCTTGACAATCCTTTTTTCCTTCGTCGATGTTGGCATCTACCCAGATGAGAAGGTAATTTGGAGCCATACGTTGTCGTGGTCGACGAATATAAGACGCTGTTGCTCCATGAGACGATTTTACGCTCGGCTCTGAAGGTTTTAGGCTCATGATACGTATATATTAATAATCGGACGAGAATTGAATGTGGTTGAAGAACTGAAGAATTGATGGTTAAGCAAAGAAAAGAACACTGCTATATATATGAGAATCAGATCTCTTCATCACAATGTTTTTGACAACATTAGCTATTTTTTTGTTTTTTATTATTACCTATAATAAAACTGTCCTCTGTACCAC